GCTCAGGTAGAAGCATGCTCAAGGTCCAGAGTGCTGGGATTACAAGTGTGCCCCATCACACCTCGCTGAAAACTGTATTTCTGAAGAACAGATCTTTCAGGTTGCTTTAACAATAAGTCCCCTTCTAGTTTTTAAATTTTATTTATTTATTTATAAGGTTTTGGTGGCACTGAGGTTTTAACTTAGGACCTCACACTTGCTAGGCAGATGCTCTTCCACTTGAGCCATTCCACCAACCTTTCCTGTATGTGTTTTTTGGGGTTAGGGTCCAGCAAACTATTTGCTCGTGGTGGGTTCAAACCATAATCCTCCTGATCTCTGCCTCCTGAGTAACTAGAATTACACTAGCGCCTGGCTGAATTTTGAATTTTATAACATTCTTTTCGAGCTAAGTATGGTGGTGCACAAGAGGTAGAGTGAGCGTACTGCTTTGTAAGCTCAAAACCTTGACTTCAAATCTTCATCCCACAAACAAACAAACAAAAGTAAAAAACAAAGACACTAAAAACCCAGAAAGATGACCTTGCTACTCTGGGACTAGAGGAACAAAGGCAGCAGTCATTCAAAGTCTAGGTAAGAGTAGCACTGTCTTCTTTCTTTCAGTTTGGCAACTCCCGCTCCTGATTCCCTTCACACTCAGTGGCATTACTACTCTAAAGTATCACCAATTCTGTGGAGCAGAGTATCCTGGTTTTTCTCATGTGGTCATTGGACATTTGTGTTCTTTTATTTGGAATTTGCCTGCAGATGGCCTTTGACCACTTAGCTTGTACTATGACTTGAGGAGTAGGGATAGAATTAACACTTCACACATGCCTCATGCCTGGTATACCACTAAGTTAAGTCTTGGCTTAAATACCATAAAGTCTTACAGAAATTTGGTGTGACTCCTGCTGACCCTGGTTAATCACCTTTGACTCAAGGAAATTCAGTATTTTTCTTTCAGAGCACTTTTTTTTTTTTTTTGGGAGGGGGTGGTACTGAGGATAGAACCCAAGGTCCCAGGGCCTCACATATGTTAGGGCAAGTGCTCTACCACTGTGCTACACCTCAGCCCCAAAACACTCTACACTTCTTTTTCTGCCAGATCAAAACCTGTTTTAGAAGACAAAGTATAACTCCAGCTTGATTGCATACGGAGTCCTACACACATAGCTGACACTCAAATATCAGATAAATGGACATAAGAGAATTTTATGGAGTTACCGCTAGACAAAAAGATGACTAAGATAACACATTCTCTTTGTTCCGAGGCCTGAGTTTTCAGATTCTTGATATATCATCACTAACCAATCCTATAGCAAATGTGCCCAAATGTTTGTCCTAAAGCTAGGTGTCATATACACAAATGATTTAAGAGTGTTTTTTACATTAAGAAGCCTGTGTCCATGTATTCTGAGGGCAACTGAACATAAGATATTTGAGAGAGACACCCACATTAACCAAGAAACTGAAGTTTTCAGCTGAGCAAAGCAGATATCAGACAACAGTAGCCACAGTATTCAGTTGTTTACAGTGAACAAGAATAATCTTAAGAGAAAGAATAGGCCCACAATCCTTTTCAAATGAGAAAAAAATTTAAGATCCTGGCTCCCTGACAAAGGCAAAGTATCACAGCACATCTAGTCAGCACTTGGAAGCCTCAAAACAAGTTCTTTTCCTTTTAAGTAACCAAGGATGGCATCTCCTAAACATAAGCTGATCATGGTCAGCTACTGGCATTTCAGGTAGCAGCTAATACACAGAACAAGTTTTGTAGGTTTGTCCATGAAATAAGTTTTCTTTCCCAAATGTGATTCCCCCACAAATCAGTGTTACTTATTTTTGTACTGACGTTAAAAAGGGGAGTAAAAGATAAAGTAGAACTGCAATTTTATCAATTTTTATCAACTCTAAAGATAAGTGTATTTCAGCTTCAATTCACTTCTTTTTTTAACCTTTTATCTTTTTTTAAGGGGGTTATTAGTACTGGTGTTTGAATTCTTGATTTTTGTTTTTTGAATTCTTGATTCTCGACAGGCATGTGTTCTACTACTTAAGCCATGCCCCCAGCCCTCTTTTTGTTTTAGTTATTTTTTTGGACAGGGTCTCCCATTTCTGCCCACAGCTAGCAATCCTCCTACCTATACCACCCCCAGAGTTGGTGTTACAGGCACACACCACCATGCCTGACTTGTTTGTTGAGATGTTAACTTTTTGCCCAGGCTGGTGGTGAACCATGATCCTCCCCACATCTGCCTCCTGACTACCTACCACCATGCCCAGCCCTTTTTAAAAATCTTTTTTTTTTTTTTTTTTTGTGGTACTGGGGTTTGAACTCAGTGCCTACACCTTAAGCCATTCCACCAGCCTTTTTTTGTGAAGGGTTTTTTCGAGACAGGGTCTCTCGAACTATTTGCCTGGGCAGGCTTCAAACTTCTATCCTCCTGAGTAGCTAAGATTACAGGCATGAGCCACCAGTACCTGGCACTAAAAATCATTTTTGAAAACCTTTTATTACACCAATGTCTAAATATTCATAATAGCAGAGAACACCAGCTCCATGTACCCATTAGCCAGGTCCAACATTATCAACAGATGGCCAGTAATTTTACCTAGAAGCCAGCAGACTTCTGTGTGCTCCACATCTAATCATTCTAAAATTTGTTCCACTTTAGAGATAAGTCACTTATCTCTCAGCATAGAGCATATGCTTCCTGGTTATTTAGTTAGGAGTTGGCTTTTTTTTTTTTTTTTTTTCACATCTTGATAACTAAGTTCCATGAAGGATTTTACAAGTGAGAATGGGAACAAGAGCTGGCTCACACCTATAATCCTAGCAAGTCAGGAAGCACAGATCAGGAGGATCCTGGTTAGAAGCCGGCCTGAGCAAATAGTTTGAGACAGTATCTTGAAAACACTGAAGACACACACACAAACAAAAAGGGCTGGTGAAGTGGCTCAAGTGGTAGAGTGCCTGCCTAGCAAGCATGAGTCCCTGAGTTCAAACCCCAGTACTGCCAAAAAAAAAAAAAAAGACCAATTTTGAGTAAGATACATGGTAAATTTTGAAACAGCTAAGAAGTCCTATTGGTTTTAACTCATCTATCTCTTCAATTCCAGCCCCTCCTTTTGATGGGCATTGCTTTAGGTCACATTCTGAGACCTCGACAGGATTTCTGGAACCCTCTCAAATCTTCCTAAAATATCTCCTGCTTATGTTACTTCCCTGCTTACAATTCTGCAATGACTCATCGCTACTTCAGAACAAAGCCTTGGTTAGCTCTGGGTCTTTTCACCCTGGCTCCTGCCTGCCTCTCCAGTGTCATCCTCTCCCCAAGCCCCATGCCCACCACTTATCCAGTCCTGTTCCTCCAATCATACTGCTGTCTGCACTAGCCATTTCATCTGCCTTCTTCTCCTACTAGCTCCTACTGTCTACAATGCCCACATGTCGACACCCACCAGGAAGCTTTCTCTGAGGCCTCCTGAACCTCTGGCTTAGATGTCCCTTCACACTTGTTTGGGCTCTCCAGTCCAATACCTCTTTCCAGGCTATAAGTAACTTGATTGAGACACTTGCTTTTACTGCCTTTGATTCTGGGGGCAAAGCATAGTAGTTAGTGCCTGGCAGAAAATAAACATTCATATGTCTGAATAAATTGCCCAGTCCTTGCTATGCTCTCCTCATCTACTTCTCTTGGAAGACTCATTTACTAAGGTGTTCATTAACCATTTTCTTTGAAATCTACAGCTTACAGTAGCAGGTGGCTTTAAGGCACAGATCAGAAGAATGGAGGCTTGAAGCCAGCCTGGGCAAATAGTTTGAGAGACCCTGTCTTGAAAATACCCAACACAAAAAAAGAGTAGAATGGCTTGTGTGGTACAGACCACCACCACCACCAAAAAAACAAAAACAAAACAAAACAAAAAGCCAGAGGGCCCAGATCAGATAGAATGGCTTGTGTGGTACAGACCACCACCACCACCAAAAAAACAAAAACAAAACAAAACAAAAAGCCAGAGGGCCCAGATCAGATCTAACTACCTGACACCCATGCCTTCACTTTAGTAACAGCACCTTGATTTTCCCTGGGGAAATCCATCTTCCCACATGCTCAATGTGGTTCTGGTGGGTAATGCACACAGAATGTGTTAGACTTCCAAAACTAGGTCATAAAAGGTATAGTGGTATCCAACACCACACCCCCCTTCCCTCTCTCAGAGGGCTCTCTATGACAGAAGACACCATATGAGGACAACAGGTTCTGGGGAAAGGCCCACTAGCCATGTCAGTGAGCCACCTTGGAATTAGATCCGCCAGCCCCATGAGACACTGAGCCATCAAACCTAGGTAAATTACAGCTGAATTCCAGACCCACAAAACTGTTGGATAGGTTGCTTTAATCCATTAAGCTCTGTATATATTTGTTACATGCAACAAGTGCAGTTGATGGAAGCAGGAGCCTGAAAAAAAAGCCAACATAGGCTGGATACTGGTGGCTCACGCTTATAATCCTAGCTCCTCGGGAGGCAGCGATCAGGAGAATCCCTGTTCAAAGCCAGCCCAGGCAAATACTGGAGAGACCCTATATCGAAATACTAAATACAAAAAAGGATGAGCCGAATGCCGGTGGCTCACGTCTGTAATCCTAGCTGCTCAGGGGGCAGAGATCAGGAAAATCGCGGTTCGAAACCAGCCTGTGCAAACAGTTCGAGAGATCCTATCTCGAAAAAAACCCTTCACAAAAAAGGGCTGGAGCGGCTCATGTGGTACAAGACTTGCCTAGCAAGCATGAAGCTGAGTCAAACCCAGTACCAACAACAAAAAAGCCAACACAGTGGGAGAGCTGACAGAAGTCCTAAGCGTGAAGCCCAGCGCCAGTGGCTCACACCTGTAATCCTAGCTACTTGGGAGGCTGAGATGGGAAGGACCACGGTTAGAGGCTGGCCGGGTTTTTTTTTTTTTAAAAAGCTAAGAACCATGATCACACCCCGCACCATTATTACCAGATCCTGACCTCATGCTGCCCTTGTCCTCCTCTCATCCCTGCTCCCTGGACTTTTCCCTCTATGGCGCGAGCTGGCTCTTACAAATCCTCCGCACGTGAGGTTCATGCGGCAAGGATCCGGGAACCGGCACGACGCCCAGCAGAGGTGCACCTGCAGCCAGCCGGGGTCACTCCACGGTTTCGTCTCTCCCACCCGGGACTTTCTCTTCCGCACGCTCTGCGGGCTGCTCGGCTTTCTTACCGCCGTACCCCCCCGGGGAACCGACGCTGCTACCCCGCAGGCCTCCGCTGCTGACCTCGCGCGAGGCCGCACGGACGATGGGCGCCCTGCGCTGCGCACTCGGTCACGAGGCGCCTGCAGCGCGCGCCGGACCCGCCCCCGGACTCCCGCGCCGGACCTGGCCGACTCCGGCCAGCGCGAGGCCTCGCGTGCGGGACGCCGGCGGGTTACCTCAGTCGCCTCCTGATCCGCTCTCAGGACGCTCTCCTGATCCTCCAGATCGGAGACGCGGCACCCCGAGGGCTCCTCACCGTGGTCCACTACCCTGGAAGTCTGCTCAGCAGCGGCCCCCGAGGCCCGCGAGCCACAGTCCTGGGACTTGGAGGCGCCGAGCTGCCGGAGCACTAGGCGCAGAGACCGCGCCAGACCTTGCGGTCCCGCCCCGACTCTCACTTCAATCCCCGCCCCCGAAGCGCTCCAGCCTCCCGTTTCAGGCCCTTGCCCCACCCCCAGACTCCGCTGCGTCACTTCCGGCACCCGAGGGGCTCCGCCCCGCGGCCTGCTTCGGTTGCTTAGCAACGAGGCGGCGTGTCTATGGTGGCTTTGCGGCTTTCTGACAACTGGTTCGGTCGCCAGCGGGCGGCGTCGGTTTGCTCCTCAGCACTGTGCCTGCTCGGGGCTCTGCTGCACCGACCAGCTCTTTTTATTTTTTTATTTTTAATTTTACTACTCATATGTGCATACAAGGCTTGGGTCATTTCTCCCCCTGCCCCGACCAGCTCTTACCTGCGCTGGCTGTCCCCCGCCACGCTGGCCTCGGGAGACCTTGAAGGGCGGCGTCGGCGGGCGAGTGAGCCTCGCGGTGGGTTCCTTCTCGCTGTTACTAACGCTGTTGTGCATCGGTTAGGCCGCTTACGGCCAAGGTGTTTTCTCTGCTCAGAATGTCGGCGCATGTTCTTTATTGAATTGTGTGTCTTTTTCTTACTGTGGTGCTGTTAGGTTCTTGACGGTAGCACGTGCTGTCATGGTCCTCGCAGTAAATACCTATGGCTTATATTTCCACAGAAGGTGTCGTTCGATGAACACAAGCTTAATACAGAAAATAGATCAAGCTTTTCTTTGATGCTTGACTTTTGGTCTTGGTTAAGAAATTCTTCCCTATCCTTAACGGTTTTAGGTTTTGATTTAACATTTAAGTTCTTAACTTAGGTTGGAATAGACAGTGTAAGATAAGGAGACATGAAAAGATGAAATTCATCTTTTTTGTGTGGATAACCATGAATCCTAGTATCATCTATTGAATTAGTCCCTCCTTCACTCTGCAGTGGCCCCTACTCAGTATAGAAAGCCCATATATGTGAGCTTCCCCTCACTAATTTCATCCTAATTCTCTAGGAAGATGTTCTGAAAAAAGACTGAATTTTCTTTCTTTTTTTGGCGGTACTGGGGATTGAACTAAAAACATACAAATTGCTAAGCTAGCTCTCTACCACTTGAAACACGTCCTGACCATTTTGCTGTTAATTTTAATAGCTGAGATTACAGATGCGTGCCACCACCACGCCTGACCTTTTTTATTATAGAGACAGGGTCTGGGTTGAAGGCATGGCTCAAGCAGTAGAGCACCTGCCTAGCAAATGTGAGGCCCTGAGTTCAAACCCCAGTACCGCCAAAAAAAAAAAAAAAGGCTGGCAGAGTAGCTCAAATAGTAGAGTGCCTGCTTATCAAGCATGAGGCCCAGTACAGCAAAAAAAGAAAAAAAATAGAGACAGAGTCTCTATATAGCCCAAGTTAGCAGTTAGCCACGACTGATTGGAATATACAAAGAAAACCTAAATGGAGGATTCTTCAAGGACTCTGAGAGAAAAAACATTGTAATTAAACTTTACAACTCTTAAAGCCAATGTTAAGATCAAAATGACCTGCTAAGGTTATGGACTGTCACAAGATGTTTTTGAGTCTCTGACCCACTCTAAGGTGGATGGACATCAAACAGTTCCTGGGACAATAGAGCTTTAACTTAACAAAACATGGATCCAAGCCTATAAACCATACCCTAGGGGTCAGGTGGACCAATAATTGTAAATCTATAGATCTACCCTAGCCTGGTGACCCTAACCCTGACTTCAACTTCCTGAGCTAGTCCTGGGGAGGGATTTAACATTCCAAGCCCCTTCCATTTCAATCAAAACCTGTGCTGGGGCTGGGCACAGGGAGCTCACACCTGTAATCAGAAGGACTGCAGTTTGAAACCAGCTCGGGCAAATACTTCAAGAGATCCTATCTCGAAAAAAAAATCACAAAAAAAGGGCTAGTGGAGAGTCTTAAGTGGTAGAGTGCCTGCCTAGCAAGTCTAGCAAGCATGAGGCCCTGAGTTCAAACCCCAGTACCTGTGCCGGGGTAAAAATTATCATTCTGTACCTATCTTGCTCACATGACCCACTTCCTCTTTCACCCCTAAAAGTTTCTCTATTCTAATTTTACTACAGTATTGTTGTTCACACCCTATAGACAACCTGCTTTCAGTCTATTGAAAGTGTATTTCTTTCCTAATAAACTTTGCTATCATTTTCATTACATTTCTGCATCTTGCCTGAATTCTTCTCTAACTGGATATAGATAGCTGGGTTGACTTTCCAGTAATATCCCAGGCTGGCCTGAAGTCGTCATGACCCTTCTGTCTCAATCTCTGGAATACTGGGGTTGCAGACATGGGCCAACTTGCCTGGCTTCCAGAATGAATTTTTTATTACCTACCAGTAATAAGGAGTTGTTTCACCCTTTCACCAGCAGGCCTTATCCCTGAGGCAACACATCTGAAAACTGATGGAAACTTCCTATACAAGTGGCTAAACTCAACATAGCTGAGAGAACGAAGAAAAATGACTTTTCTTGCTTTATAAAGGGGAGAAGGCAGCTGTCCTCCTCTCTTCCTGAAAGGTCTTTTCTACTCAAATCCTTTAGCACAAATAGTAAATAAAACCTTTCCAGCCAGGTGCCAGTGGCTCACACTTGTAATCCTAGCTACTCAGGAGGCAGAGATCAGGAGAATCTCAGTTCAAAGGCAGCCTGTGCAAATAGTTAGGGAGACCAAATCTTGAAAAAAATCCAATACAAGGGCTCAAGGTATAGGCCCTGAGTTCAAACCCCAGTACCACACAAAAGAAGAAAAAAATGACATGAGCCAGGAACATGTGGCTGATACCCATAATCCTAGTTACTCAGGAGGACTGCAGTTAGCAACCAGCCCAGGCAAATAGTCTGAGAGGCAGTATTTCAAAAATGCACAATGCACACACACAGAAAGGAATGGAGGAGTGACTCAAGTAGTAAAGCACCTGCTTTAGCAAGCATGAGACCCTGAGTTCAAACTCCAGTACTGAAAAAAAGAGTGAAAACAACATGAGATAAATGAAAAAGTGGATTTATTTACAGTTTTACCAAAACTGGAGAGAGCTATTGTGAGTCTTTCCCATAGTATTCCAATTTATAGAAAGAGTGAAACAAAAGCCAGGAAATATGCATATGTAGATTCAGATGTGAGTTCTGATAAGAACTGCCCCTTGCCACCATTCTGCAGCCTGAGCTGAAGCTGGTTTCATCCCTTGCAGAACAAAGCCCACTGTTCCTTATCCCCTGCCACCTTCCTTTGCCCACCCCTAGACTTTGCTTCAGCAGCTGGTCTCATCCCTTGCAGAACAAAGCCCCACTGTCCCTTATCTCCTGCCACCTCTCTTTGCCCGTCCCTAGCCCTTGCTTTCTCCCAAATGCTACTTAAGGCTAGACCCGCCGAGAGAAGCTGCTGCGCCATTTTTTTCTTCTCGGCCAGCCAGCCTGCTTATTAAACTCTGGACATGAGATACCTCTTGGGAGCCTCCTTTGTGTGTGGTGTGTGGCATTTTCCAAACACTTTGGTGCCATGACTCAGATCCAGGTGAGCTTCCAACATCAACCTTGCTCTCTCACTGAGATCTGAGCTGCTTTGTCGGGCCCCTGCTTCCAGGTTAACACCGTCATCACCACTCTCACAGGGAACCTCCTCAAGGCCAGTGTGCTCTCATTACCCACCAATGGTTGACTTCCTTGGGGTCCTCCCTTGGTGAGTTCCCTCACTCTTTCTCTCTCTCTCTCTCTCTCTCTCAGATGGTCAAAATCCTAGTACTAGGTCCCGATTCACATCGGCTCAGGAACCAGGTTCCTGAGGTGTGGACAATCCTCTCAGTGAAGATGTTCCCTTGAGGTCCTCCACTTCTCTGTTTAATTATGTTATCTGACAACTGCTTCTCTTCCCCCCCCACTCCTGTCTAATGTCCCTTTTTCCTGAGACAGCTATCAGAGAATGGAGGTTTTCCATGTTGGCTTAAAGTGGTTCCAAGTAACCAGTCAATGTGGAGCGACCTGAGACAGCGGGGATGGCCTGAATGTCCCGTCAGGCGTGGTGTCCAAGCCTCCAGCTTCTGCTTCCCTCCCTTACCTAAGATGGTCAGGACACCTTTTTTCTGCCTCCTCCAGGTCTCACCACATGTCCTTTGTCTCTGTTTGCCTTCCCCTCCCTGGGTTTTACTGGGACCCTGCCTCCCATGAAAAACTTGTAACATGGTACTTTATGACTTAAATTATTCCAACTAGGTTGCCAGGCTTCTCAATCTAAAGTAACTTTAAATCAGCTGCTTTACAAAAGCACTTACAAAACTGCGCTGCCATGCTCACGCCCTAACTCCGCCCCCACAAGGGGAGGAGGGAAAACAAACTGGTGCACCTGTGCACAGGATGCCAGCTCCTGGACACAGCAAAAATGCTTGCCATAGCTAAGAAAATCCATAGAGAGGACCCAGCACATCCTGGGCCACCAGCCACACGTGGCGATGGCTGCGGCCTGCCACCTCTTCCCCTAAAATAAATGCACACAGAGTACACAGGAAGCGGGGAGGGGCAACAGGCCACAGCATCAGGCCTAGGCAGACAGGCTCGCTTGTCCCAGGTATGTATGGAGGGAGTGGCACCTGGCACAAGCC